TTTCATGTTTTTAAAACAGCAAATGTACTTCTGAATATGAAACAAAGTAGACTGTCATTTCATCTGCACACTTGGATCTATACACTTTAAAATGTCTTTACTATTTTTCCTGAATTTTCAGAAACAGAATTTACATTGTTTATAGTAGTAGCTATCTCAGCAAACTACCAAAACCTTTGGAGAACAGCATGATGGCACCTTAAATTTTTTCCAAAGTCACAGGCACACCCATGCTGAAAGCTGAGGAAAGCTTCTCCCACATTTTGTATAAAACTAGAAAGAACAGCAGCATTATGTCACAAACTTTTCATTTTAACATGCTAATTCTTTATGAACTCAGTATATTTCAATCCAGTGATACTGCCACGTTCAAGGACGCATCTCATATTCACAAATCCTCAGTCAAGAATAATTTTATGACAACAACTACCAACAACTGAATGTATTGAAGAAGTTCATTTCCAAAAGAGACACTAATTGTCCATCACATGTAAGCAAGTGCAGATACAAAGTAGCTTTGCATGATTCTGTCACTGAAAGGAAAGAAGGTTCTTTTTTTTTGTCACAGAAAGAAATAAAAACAAAATTAAAATTTCAAGTTACTCAGATTCTTGGAAGGAATCATGTCTATAAAAGTAGCTTTAGTTTTCCTTTTCTCTTCCAGAAAAGCCTACATTCCTTCAGGGACTCGAAGGAAATATTTGCCATTAACCATTTAAAGTGCTGGTCACTTGTTAGGGAAGAGCAAATTGAAACAGCAAGACCATTGTCTGAAAAGACACTGCACAGCAGATGCTACTTTAAATGCACACCCATTATCAACCCTCAATATAATTTACTTTGCTAAATAAAAGAAAATTTTAGCTCAGTATAATCCGGCAACTCAGTAAAAGAAAAAAAAATATTAAAAATCCTACAGCTAAACAAAGTCGGACTTTAGCAGATCATTTTTATAAACTTGCCCATGTCACTTAAGACCTGTCCATACAAAGACAGCCAACATTCTAGCAGTGAGAAAAACTGAAGGAGCCTCTCCAGCACCAACCCTCACACAGCAAGGAAATTCTGCAGCCGAAGCTTCAAGAAGGCTCCGTCTGCCAAAACCACTGCGTGCTTTTAATTAAGAACATCCACAGAAATGCATTAAGAACACAAAGTTTCAGGGAGCAGTAAGAAAGCCAGCAGCCTGGCCATGCTTCCCACCCACCTCCCCAAAGGAGAGCCCACAGAAAGTCATCACTCACTCCTGTACCTGTGCAGAGCATCTATCCCACGCTGGCCAAGTGACCAAAGTCAAGGAAATGCTTTTAGCATCCAAAATATACAAATACTTTCAGACTGATGTCATCAAATACATCACTTGAGTACTTCAACTCTACCTTAACTCTTTTTTACTGTTAAATACTACATGTTAGGTTCTCAGTTTATTTTCCTGAATAAAACTGCACATCTAACAGTTGCAGCCAGTCATCACCTTGACTCCATGCTGGCACACAGTGATGGAAAATAAAATTTATGCAAGATTTATCTTTCAAAAATGTCAAACCAAGTTTTGAAGTAAAAACTTGTTATTTACTCTTCTGAAATTTTGCTTTAGTGGCTTTATAACCATTTAATATGCAACGAGTGACTTATTCTAATTTTTTTTTTTTTTTGGTACTGAAACCTCGTGGATTGAAGCTCTTCAGAAAGTCTCCTTTCACCTAACTTCAGAATTTATCCTTGTGTTGTTCTTCCCTGCAATTTGGGAAGCTACTAGTTCTGCCACTGATTTGCAACACAGCGTCAGTTCTTTGCAAAACTGAAGTACCCCAAAAAGACCAAGATCAAAAGTTGTATGTCTGATGAAGATCAAAAGTTGTAGTGCCTTGTAGGTGTAGGACAGTAAAATCTTCTTTCCCAAAGAAAATCATGCACATATGTGTGAAAACTCTACTAATGAATTATTTATGTTTAAAGATAGAATCCTGTGATTGCTTCCAGGCTGCACTACTGCTGAGTACTCCAAATGGTGGCTTCTGTGATCATTGCAGTTGGAATAAGCTCAAAAGAAACAAGTAATACGTTCCTTGTAACTAGTCTTGTAAGGCTACCATTATGTACATAAATCAGCTTCCAACTTTGCTCTTTCTCCCTTTTTCAGTATAAAGACCAAAAATAAGACTAAATAGGGTGATTTTTTAAGCCAGGAAGTACAAGCCTAACATTTCTTATGCTGTTTTCCCAATGAGCAATAGTGATTCAGTCCCATTAATAGCATTACAGACTGCTAGAGCTGGATCCTTGTTGGCAAGACAGGCTCCAACATCACAAGGTCAAAAAAGAGCTTCTGAATTACATTAGTGAAAAATTTCCTAAGGAGTTTCCATAGCCTCCACCTACTGAGAATCTGTTTTCCTCCTTCATACCAATAGCAAAGCAAAAATGGCACAGATTTCACTTCACAATTTTAGTTCTAAGTATATATCTATCAATACAGAATATGTTGACTGTACATCAGATTTATTTTGTACAATCAAATCTTTGCAGCATAAAAGTATCCATGTGCTTAGACAGAAACTTCTAAAATTCAAGAAGTTTCAGCCCTGACATTTGCCACCTTTAATTGATGTCCAGGTGTGGCTCAGGAAAATGCCAGCTGGCCCAAGCAAGCCAAACCAATGCCCATGATGACAATGATGTGGCCAAACACGTGCCAGACCTCAGCCTTACACCCAAATTGTCTTTGATTTCTCTCTCCATTGAGGGAAACCTTAGCTCCAGCCTGATGCAGAAGACACCTCTGGCAGATGCCTGGAAGGCCACAGAGATCACACCGCCTAGAGCACAGAGAGAAAGGGAAAATTCCCTGGAGCTGCAAATCACAATAGCAGGAACAGTCCATGACACCTGGAAATCCCTGCACACGTTTTCCCACTGCGATGTTCCACCTTCATCAGACTTTAATATAACAAACCCTCAAACAATCAAAGAGAGAAGACAGACCTTCACCGATGATCACACTAAAACACATGTCAACAATTAGCTTGAGCAGATAAAATAACTGGGAAAATGTGGGCTGCATTATCTAACTTGATGGCCCTTTATTTGACAGAAATAGAAAAATACGTTAAAAATATTTGAGAGGTTTTATTCCCAATTATGTATCGTATTCAAAAAAAGAAAGAAAAAGACATGTATCTTCAGCCATACAAAAACATCTGAGAAATCAAGAGGCTTTTTCCTTCACCTCGTTTACCAGCCTGGAATCTGGTTTTTCCATTAGCTGAAAGTGAAGTGGCAGTGTTACAAGAAACATGAGACTACTCCCGTCTCAGTTTCCCAGGTTTAATCTCAGACTATTTACAATGACCTTCTCTTTTCATTTCTGTTAGCAACTACCTAACAACACTCAACCAACTCAGGCTGGAGACAGAGAAGAAACTGCTTCTCTTCTTCTCAGCTATTACAGCACTATATGGTGATCCACAGTGTTAAAAGCAGCCAGTGGCTTTAACTTGCCTATCTTTCAGCAGCCAAAGTCCACACTATTAATGAAGCAGGAAGCAGCTCCAGAAGGTTTATGTTTGCTTTTGGGGTGAGCAGAGCTTGCACAGACTGTGCCCTTCAGCAGAACCCACGGCTCCTTAGAGCTTTTCTCAGCAGCAGAACCACTTACGTGACACATTTTCTGCTACAGGAGAACTGTGTTTTCCAGATCCCAGCACAGACAGACACTTCATGAGATCACAGATGCTGCTGTGGAGGGAAGGGTGCAGTTTGCTGAGCATCAGCACAGCACTGCATTGTGGTTCTCTCTAAAGAAAGACACAGCGTACAGAACCCCTCAGAACAGGCTGGTGACTGCTTTTGGCCCAGCTGTAGGAACCTGCCTTCCTTCATCCCTAGTAATACGAGGCCATAACAGACTTGAAAGGTAAAATAGTGATGAGGCACAGGATGGCAGACAGCAGGCACAAAACTGGAACTTGAAAGCTTTCAGCTCTAAAAAGGCAGAAACACCGCGCTCCAAAGAAGCATGAGACCAGAATCCAGACAAAGGTGCTCCCGAACACGATAAAACCCAGCTAGAAAGCTGCTGAACGCGGGCACCCCGCGCTCCTCCTCGGGCAGCTCCACACGCACCCGCCACCTCTCACAGCCACAGCCAGCAGCGTGAGGCGAACGATTCCACCGCGGGATGCAAACGCGGGCCAACCCCGCCAGCGGGACCGGCGGCCGCTCCGCTCCTCCCTGCCCGCGGGGCCAGCGCAGCGCGGGGGACGGGAGGACGCGGCAGGCCGGGCGCGGGGAGCCCGGGGCGCTGTCGCC